GGCAGATGGTGGACCTTCTAAGAGCGGGAAACAGGAGGCAGAGGGGCAGTGTGGGGGAGGCTGGTGAGTTCACTTGGGGGGCGTTGGTTTGAAGGCTGCCCGGGGGCCATACAGGGGCGACATCTGGGAAGCGTGCAAACAAGTGGCCAGAGGAACATGATGCCGAGGCTGAGACAGACTGGATATAAGACTATGACTCAGGGAAAAGGAGATTCCCAGGAAGCAAGTGAAATATTCATTCAACAAACACCACGGGGGAAGCCTGAGACAAACCCTGTCTCCTCATTTCTGAATACCCAGCATCTGGCCTAGGACCTGGCTGCTTGTTTTTTTCTGTCTTGTTTAGTTTTTTTTTTGGCCACACCACAAGGCACATGGGATACTAGTCCCCCTGCATTGGAAGCACAGAGTCCTAACCACTGGACCACCAGGGAAGTCCCTGGCTGCTGCTTGAATAAACCAGGAGGAAGTTCTAGGGCCGAACCTCAGAGGATGGGCTGGGTTCCGGCAGGAGGAGAGGAGGTGAGACCCCTGTGATCCAGCATGTGAGGCCTGAGCTTGGGTCCAGCTCTTCTGCAAGCTTGTGGTAGGGCCCTGGGCCAGTCTCTCCCCCTCCCAGAGCCTCAGTTTCCTCATCTGAACACTGGCCATGAAAGGATGTGGTTGAGATTCAGAGCGATGGCGGTGGAGACATGTGGCTTGGATCATGGGGGTTGGGGGGGTGGGGCCAGCATGTGAAGAGCAGGCTGATGAGGTCGTGGTTTGGGGGTGACCTGGTGGAGCACAGGGTCACCTACTTCCTGGGGCGGCAGGGCCGTGGGGGACAAAAGAGGAAAATGAGGATCTGTCTGGAAAACACGGCCACAGCTGTGTCCCATGTGGGCCCCCTTCCACCCCACGGCCAGCTGGGGCGGGCGGGCGGGCAGGCAGGCTGGGGAGCCTCACCCGGAGACGGAGGAGGGGACCAGATGACAGGGACCTTTTCCGCAGCGCCTTGGAGCTGCTGGCACCGGGCTCTGGCCGCCGTCCCGACCCTCTGATCCTGACTCAGGATCAGGCCCTGATCCGCTCCTTCTCTGGCGGTCCTCTTTGGCCAAGCGGAGGTTACAAACCGGAGGCCCAAGAGACCGAATCTGGCCCTCGGGTTGGCTGTGTTCAGTCCAAACAGAATTTTTAAATGAAGGGAGGCAATATTAAAAAAAATCTGTAGATGTTGGATGAAAATCCATGTTTCTGGAAAATCAGAGGACCCAAAATTCTGATCGCACGGGTCCTCATCCCCAAGGGGCCACACTGAGCTTTAGACAGGGTGCCACGGTCCCCGCCACTCCCTCTTGTCTCTCTGAAACTGAAGCCAAGGAAAAAAAGCTCTTTATCATCTTAACTCTGGCCCGCTTCACTCATTTAAAACCCCACTGGATTTTCAGCCCTGAAAAATGATCTCTTTTCCCTCCATAACCACTGAGGCCTGGGCCCTGGTTCGAGCCCGGAGCCCCTTAATCTCTGCCTCACGTGAACGCTCCAGGATCGCTGGTCTTCTCTGCCCTTGCCCCCTCCAAGGCCCAGCACCACGCCCTGAGGGTGGATGCTAGGCTGAGTCTTGGCTGAGCTCCGCGGGGCCCGTGGGAGGCGGGCCCACATCTGCTCTGAGATGTGTCAGCTGGGCCTGGTCACACTCTCCGCAGCTCATCCCAGAGGCATGTGGGACCAGCGCTGTGCTCGCGGCCCGGCTGGGGTGGCGGGCGGGGCCCGGCCCGGGACGTGGTGTATGTCCAGGCCGCACGCAGCAGTCCTGATAGCTCAGCTGCAGACACACTGCCTGAAAAGAGGGAAGGAGGAGGGGAGAGAGGCAGAGCTGCTTTAGTGGAAAATGTCCAAAACACAGAGGCAGAAAGACCTGAATTCACACCCTTGGTTGCTGTGTGACCTTGGCCAAGTTGCTTTACCTCTCTGAGCCTCCAGCATAAGGTGGAGCCAAGGAGAGCCCTCAGAAGTGGTAACGTGGCATCAGCCTATATCCCAGAGGGGCAGCCCGGAATGAGGGGAAACATATCACAGACTTTTGGGGGTCAGATCAACTGACAACTTGTAAGCTGAGTGACCCTGGGCAAGTCACCTGCGTATCTGGAGTTTGGAGCAAAGGTCGTAAGCTCTAAACCCTCAGAAAATTAATCTGAGGGAAAAGAGAATTCATTCACTCAACAAATATTTATTGAGCATTTCCTGTGTGTCAGGCGCTGGGGTCACAGCAGGACACGAGACAGTCAGAGGTCTCTGCCCCCACGGAGTTCACACTTTGGTGCAGTGAGCTGACAACAAACAAGATAAATAAGTTGTATATTATATTTGAAGGGTTTCCCAGGTGGTGCAGTGGTCAAGAATCTGCCTGCCAATGCAGGAGACACAAGAGACTTGGGTTTAATCCCCGGGTCGAGAAGATCCCAAGTCAAAGGAAATAGCAACCCACTCCAGTAATTTTGTCTGGAAAATTCCATGGACAGGGGAGCCCGGCGGGCTATAGTCCACGGGGTCACAAAGAGTTGGAGATGACTGAGCGCGCGCACGCGTGCGTACATGCGTGTACACAAACACACGCGCACACCTTGTATTTGAAAGCACCAGTGCTACAGAGAGAAATAGAGTGGGGGAAGAAGCAGGGCGAGCTGGGGGTTTCAATATCCAGAGATGGGTCAGAGACAGCCTCACTAAGCACGGAACAGCTGAGCAACGACCTGTACGTTGAGGGAACCAGCAGGAGGAGGAGGCTTTCAGGCATCAGGAGCAGCTCTCACTGCAAAGGCCCTGAGGTGCTGCGGCGGGAGCGGGCGGCGCGGCTGAGCAGGGCCGGGGGCAGGGCTGGGGCAGGCCAGCAGGACCCTCTGTGTCGTGGCTTCTCCGCAGGAGGCGGGCGCCACGGAGGGCTCCGAGCAGAGGCGGGTCGCAGTCTGACTTGCGTTTTCGCAGGACCTGCGGAGGCCGGGACAAGAGCAGGAAGACCAGGGGAGGCCCGGCAGCGGTCAGTCCTGTTTGCGGATCATGCTCCCACCCCCCGCCCCACAGCTGTCGTGGCTCCCCGTTGCCCCTGGAGAGAGCCCGAGCTCCTCAGCCCGGCGCTCAAGGCTCCCGCTACGCGGGCTGGCCTCCTCCCTCCAGCCCCCCTCTCTCCCCATCAGCCTCGCTGGACACGCGTCCTCCTCTGTTCCATGAGCTGTGGCTCCTTCTCCCGCTCCGGTCCCTCGGCCAGGAACACTCTTTCTGTCCTCGCTTTGTGAGGCAGCTCACGGGTGGCTCGGCCCACCAACTCCCGCTGACTCTCAGCTGGGGTTTAGGAAGCCAAGAGGGGCAGAGGAGGCCTCGCCCCGGGGCGGGGCGGGCGGGGGGCGCAGACCTTGTCCCCCTCCTTCTCGCGTACACCCCAGGGCCCTGCCGGCTGAGGGCAGGTTTGGGAGGTGAAAGCGGAGCTGCAGCCTGCTGTGTGACCTTGGTCAAGTCACACGCCGTCTCTGAGCTTTGCTTTCTCTGCCTGGCACAATGGGGAAAAGAATGAACTTCCTCATAGGTGGCTGGGCAGCGGTGGCTGTGAGCTCGGGGGCTGTTACCATCGTGGGCAGGATGGCATTCTGGGAGAAGATACGAGCACACGTCTTTTTCCAGCTGGGCCAGGCCCATACCGGCGGCCCCGAGCTGACGCCAGGGCTATCTTGGGGGTCAGATCCCTTGGCAGCCCCAGGGTTCTCCAGCTTGGTTGTCCTTGAGTTACCCAAGCAGCCACTGTGTGTCCAACCCCAGTTCTGAGTAGGGACTAAGGGTCTTCCCAGGTGGCGCCAGGGGTAAAGAACCTGCCTGCCAATGCCGGAGATAGAAGAGACATGGGTTCCCTCCCTGGGTCAGGAAGATGCCCTGGAGGTGGGCAGAGCAGCCCACTCCAGTATTCTTGCCTGGAGAATTCCCATGGACAGAGAAGCCTGGCGGGCTACAGTCCACAGGGTTGCACAGAGTTGGACATGATAGAAGTGACTTAGCATGCATGCACGCAGGGACAGAAGACCTGGGTTCAAATCCCAACTCTGCCGCTTAGCAGCTTTATTATCTAGCTAAGTGAACCCCTCAGTCTCTCATCTGTGAAATGGGGAAACTGACAGTACTTATCTTCTAGAGTCGTGATAGAAGCCAGTGAGGTGATGTAAATATTGCACTCAGCACATGGAGTAAGTATCTAATCAATGCCAGTTATTATTATTATTGTATTATTTTCTATGACTGCTGTTTACCAGCTATGGGGGGGGGGCTCCCTATGCCTCAGTTTCCTCATCTGTGAGATGGGTAATTGCACTGCTGCCCTCATGGAGTTTCTGTAAGAATTGGGTCTAATATGCATAAGTGGTGTCTGGAGCAGAGTAGGTACTAAGTGGGTTTTTTTGAAAATTTCAAGCGTAGAATTCATTTAATACAGTACCAGAAGTCATCACTGATCTGCGAATGGTTCCTATGAAAGCCTTTTATTATCTCTCTACTCAAACAAATGCCCATTTGGCTTAATTGAATTTAAGCAAACAAATGAGATAAGAAAGAAAATCCCCAGCCTCGGGATAGTTATTGCAACCCAGCGGGTGATGAGAGGTACACGTGCTTCTAATAAAAAGCCGAGGAAGAGCAGCAGGATTATATTAACATTTCACGTAATTACGACTGTGCAGTTGGATGACCTTGGGCAAGTCCCTACTCTTCTCGGACCTCGGTCTTTTCTTCTCTGCAATGGGTATGAGAGCCTCTAACCTGCGGGATTATGGTTTGGCTCAAACCCGTCACAGCTGTGGCTTATGAAGCACCTCCTGTATGCAGAAGACTGTGTGTCATCTCCCCCTCCCTCCCAGGACGGGAGGTTGGGCACGGGCTGCCCCCCCCGACCCAAGGAGAGGACAGTGAAGTTGGAGACGTGGCTGGAGATGCCGCTGCAGGAGGGAAGGAAGTGGGGGGGCTGGGCAGGCTGGACTGACGCAGCTGTGATGTCAGCCACAGGCCGCAGGCGGTGGCCGGCCCAGTGTGAACGGTGAGCTCTCTGCTGGCCTGGCGCAGTGCCTCCCCCCCGGGGTGGCCTGCTGCCCCCCTTAACCCCTTCCCGGCCTCGTTTTCCCAGACAGCCATCCCCCGGGCCTGGCCTTGCCCACAAGATTCCCAGATTTCACAACCGGGGCTGGCGCTGAATCATGTACAGTAAGTCCGGGGAGAGAAACTCCTGGCTGCCCGGCGTCCCCAGGACCAGCTGCCAAGCCAGTCTTCCCTCCCCACGGGCGAGTGGCCGCGGGGAGCTGGGGATCGTCCCTCCGGGCCGCCGACCAGCTGGGGGGGGGGGGCATCGGGCAGGGCACGTGATCTCTCCAGGCTGCACTGGGAATCAAGGGGTGGGGCTGTCTCTAGGGCATCCTGGGGCTCTGGAGGGCGGGAGGTAGGGCGTGAGGGTGACTAGTGACCGGGAATGCGTCCCTTCGCCTAAGCTACAGCTTCCTGATCTGGAGGATGGGCATAATCACACGACTGACCTCCTGGGGCCCGTGCGAGGATTAAATGAGATGATCCAGTGCTGAGCACAGTCAGTGCCAGACAAGCGGGACTGTTGCTGTTGTGGTGTCAGAGTTCCCCAGGACACGGTTTGAAAGACTCCGGAGAAATCATTCAGTCCTTGGGGGAGCCCTCCCCGCTCCCTGCCCCCTAGAACACCCACCCCTTTCCTGGTGACCCAGATGATTCTTATTTTTAAAAACGTCTTTATTACATCAGCAAGTATCTGTTGAGCACCGCTGTGTTCTACTGGGTCCTGGAAATACAGCAGTGAATAAAAAAGAAAAAAGAAAAAGAAGAAATAAGAACAAACCCCTCTGTTCTCATGGAGTCTATGTCGTAGTGAGGGAATCAGACGTTTGAGGTCATTTCAGAGACGGACGAGGCTCTGCAGGAAGCAAAGCAGGGGCTGTGATGGACACGGCCCCAGAGCGATCCTCTGAGGAGGTGACCTCTAAGAGAGATTGGACAACAAGAAGCCGGTGTGGGAAGGAGTGTGTGTGGGGGGTGGGCGTTGCTCCGGGCAGAGGGGACTGCAGGTGCAAAGCTGCACTGATGGGAGCCAAGGCGTGTTTGGAGATCACCTGGGCCGGTGCGGCTGCAGCGGGGGGGAGTGCGGGTAAGAGCGGGACCAAGTGAGCTTGCGGGCTGGGCACAGATGCCCTGCACCAGCGCTCTGAGCCCTGGGCTCCTCCTGAAAGTGAGCTGCCCGGGGCCTGCCCTCTGCCTGCAGGGATGGCCACTTGGCAAGGACCTGGCTCCCTTCTCTCTGGGGTCCCCAGGCCCAGGAACAGCCCACTCACATGGAAAAACCTCATCTCCGGGGGTACCGTATGGATCGGGCATCTATGCTGAGGCTTCAGCTGGGACTCAGATGGCCTCAGGGAAATGTGGAGGGCCGAGGTCTGCCTCTTCCTAGCCCAGGGCTTTGACATTTGCCTCTCAGAGCCTCAGTGTCCCCTTCCATGAGATGGGCACAATGTTACCACATAGAGGGATGTATGTGGTGGAATACTACTCACCCAGGAAAAAAACGAAGCCTTGCCGTTTGCAACAACTTGAGTGAACCTTGAGGGTGTTACGCTCAGTGAAATAAATCAGACAGAGAAAGACAAATATCAATACCATATGATTTCACTCATATGTGGAATATAGACAACTACTAAACAAACAAAAAACAAACGAACAAAAAAACCAATATGTAGATACAGGGGAGAAAGCTGTGATTACCAGCAGGGAAGGAGAGGCGGGGCGGGGGGTGGGCAAAATGGATACAGGGGCTCCGCCAGAGGAGGGCAGATGGAAAATGAACTTTTAGTGGTGAGCACACTGGCAGGTGGGCTTCCCAGACGGCACTAGTGGCAAAGAACCTGCCTGCCCAGGCAGGAGACATGAGAGACCTGGGTTTGATCCCTGGGTTGGGAAGACCCCCTGGAGGAGGGCATGGCAACCCACTCCAGTGTTCTGGCCTGGGGAATCACATGGACAGAGGAGCCTGGTGGGCTATCGTTCATGGGGCCGCGAAGAGTCGGACACAACTGAAGCAACTTAGCATGCACACACACTGTCAGATATACAGAAGTAGAAATAAGATGTTGTACACATGAAACATCTAACGCTATGTCAGTATTTAATTTAAGAAATAATACAAAATTTAAGAAAATAATATAAAAAATAAATAACTAAAAGGAGGAAGAGAGGGCTTGCTCCAGTATCTGTCCCTGTTTCCCCTCCCCAAGCCGGGCAAGAGGCTGGGATTCCAGGGGCAGAGGGCAGTTGGAGCTTGCTTCTGAGGCCCGAGAGTTGTGGGCAACATGAGGCCTAATCAGCATTCCGAAGACTGTTTTATTTTTATTTTTTTTACTTTTTGGCCATACCAACCAGCATGTGGGGTCTTGGTTGCTCGACCAGGGATCAAACCTGTGCCCCTTACATTGGAAGCACAGAGTCTTAACCACTGGACTGCTAGGGAAGTCCCCTGAAGAGTGTTTTAAAAATTATTATTTTTTTTTTTACCATTTTCCATCAGGCTGTGGCAGTCAGGATGGCTGTTGGCGTGGGAGGTTGGGGCCTGACATGCAGCCGGGGAGATGGGTCATGTCTGTGTCCCTGTGAGAACCAAGCGCAGCCCCGAGGGGCAGGCCAGCTTCTTGCCCCCATTGTGCGGATGAAGAAACCGAGGCCCTGACGGGACGGGTGCTGCCCTGGTCTCCCCATCCGGGAGGGGCAGAGACGCAGGCTCAAGACTGGTCTGTGGCTGTGCCCGTTCACACCCCACCTCCTCCTGGTACCGGGCGTCTTGGGGCCAGGACGGCCGTCAGAGCCAGATGCTCGTGCCTGCGGGGCTCCTAAAAATCTGGAAAGGAAACCGGATGGAGGCCCGATCAGACCAGGTGCGACCCCTCTTCCTCCTCCCTCTGGCTGGAGTAATTATTTGCCCGGGTTAATAGTGCCCCCTTCCCCCCACCTTTCATCACAGCTTTCGGAATTGCCAGGCAGTAATTAACCCTCCTAGCACCCCTCTGAAGTTGGTACTGGAGGCAGACATGTTATTATACCCATTTTTTTACAGGTGGGTAAACTGAGGCAGGGCCCATTGAGGCCTGGGAGCCTGTGGTACCCCCATGACTCAGCAGCAAAATCAGTCTCCACTTTCTTCCCACAGGAAGCAAGAAGGCTTATCCTCCAGACACCCCTTCCCCTGGGGGCCGAGCTGCAGACGGGAGGCTTGGCAGGTCTTGGACACTCCTTGTTCCTGCCCTCTCGCCTCTCAGGAGCAAGGGGTACGGGCTTGCGACCAGGTGGAAGGGGCTGGGGCCCGACTCTGCTGTGTGACCCTGGGCAGGTCACTGCCCTTCTCTGAGCCTCAGTTTCCCCCTAGGTAAAGGGGGGATAACCATCCCACTTGGTATGTTTGCTTTCCTGAGCAGAAAGCACAGGGCAGACCTCCGGTCAAGCTCCAGTCTCTCCCCTGGCTCTGGCCACACGGGTCTCCTCTGTGCCCTTTGGACACCCAAGCCACTTTCAACCTCAGGGCCTTTGCATGTGCCGAGCCGTCTGCCCAAACTGTCCTTCCTTCAGATCTCTGCCTAGCAGGCACCTTCTCCGCTTTCTCAGCTCAAATGTCACTTCCTAAACCTAGAGTCTCCCCACCCCCCGGCACGGCCCCCATCCCTCACTCTATTTTCTTAAAGTGCTTATGAAGGTAACTCATCTTTCACCTTGTTTGTTTCCTCGTCAGCTCCACCAGAGCACAGATTTTCATCTGGTTCATTCACAGTGTACTCTTAAGGCTCAGCTCAGTGTCAGGGACATAGTAGGTGCTTAAGAAATGATTTTTGCTTTCTCCACCTCTTGCCTGGCTCTCTCCAGGGTCAGCTGCTCCTTGTCAACTGAGGATGGACTGAGCTCCATTCTCTTGAAGGACTCAGGTAGCTTTGGAATCCAGGACCTCAGTCTCGTAGCTTCCCAGGTAATACGAGTTGAGAGCGAGACAGTTGATGAGGGGAAAAGAGCCCTCCCCGGAGCAGACACCCTCTTCCCTCCTGCCTCACCCCTCCCTGCTGCCTCGGGCTCATGGACTCACTCCAGGCCGATCCCCAAGCCAGCCACCCCCTCCCTTGGCATGTCTGTCAGCACCCTTGGGGGAAAGAATTTGGAAAGGGGAGGAAGAGGAAGAAAAGAAACCAGGGTGAGGGGACGGTTCCCACACCTGTGTAAATAATTGGTCGTCTTAAAACTTGTCAAATATGCTCACCTTCAATGCCCAGTTCTTGGGCTTGTTTTCTTTGGCAAGGCCCCCACGGGAGTGGAATTTCGGCTGAAGGGAGCCCAATTGTCATCCTCTAAGCATGTTCCCAGGCCAGGGGGCCAGGGACGGCTCTGGCTGGTGCTCCACTTCCGTCCCCAGAAGTACCGAAATGTTCCTGGGATTTCGGGAGCAGCCGCCAGTCCTGGAAGCTGTCCCAGAATTCTGGAATGTTGGAATTCAAACGGCCTCCTGCCCATTTTTCAGAGGAGGAACATGAGGCCCAGAGAGGGAAAGCGGTTGGCCTGAGGTCACACAGCATGTTGGGAAAAGCTAGAGCTTTCCAAGAGAAGGTGGGATCAGTATCCATCTTCTGGTTTCTCCTGTATTGGGGTAATAGCACCCCAATTTCCTGCTGGAGAACGCCCTCTTCCCTCATCTCATTCCATGAGATTTGGGTGGGGTGTCCTAGGACCCTGTCTCCAAGGGTGGACGTGTGACCAAGTCTGGCTCTATGTGATTGGTCCGGGGATGGGCGTGTAACTAAGCCTGCCCAATGAAACTTGATCCTGGGACTTTGGTTGCTGGGAGTTATTTGCGAAAAGACGTGCAGTTTTTCCATTGGATGGAGAGTAGGCAAGTGAAAGCCTGGAGCATCAGGGGACTTCATAAGAGGAAAACCTGCCTGAGAGAGATCAACACAGAGCTAGACAGGGTTGGAACCCCTGGATCCGTACCTGAAATTAGACACACTTGGATGTTTTAGTTTCATGAGCCACTACATTTTCCATTTTTGGCTGGAAACAGCTTGGTTTTCTGTCACTTGTGTGTCACTTGTGCACAAAAGGGGATCATTGACCCAGGGGAAGGGAGAAAGAAGTGCTTCCAGGCCAAGGAAATAGCTTGTGTAGTGGCCCTGAAGCAGCAGTGCTAGGGGATATTCAAGTAACAGGGCAAAGAGAGTCATCCCCAAGGCGAGGTTAGGAGTTTGTCAGGTGGTCAAGTGGGAGAAGGGAGCGTCTCCAAGCAGAGGGAACAACCGATGAGAATGCTCGGAGGGGTGACCAGCGAGTGAAGACTAACCACATGCTGGGCTTGTGTTGGGTGCCAAGGAACGCAGAGCTGAAGAACGCGAGATCGAATCCAGCTACTGCTTAACGGCTCCGGCCGAATGTGGGCTCTTCTGCTTTCAGAGCTGAGCCATCACCCCCTTCCAGCATGCTGGCTGAGATACTCATGTACTCTCTTCATTGATGGTGGGCACCATCGGGGCCGCCCAGCTTCACTTTACAGGGTGCAGAGCGCCAGTCCACATTGGGTCACATGGTGAGAGTCATTCCCTTCGCAGATCTTTCGACAGTTCTTCCTTCACATCGTGAAGGGCAGATGCTAACCTCTTGCTAACACCCAATACTTGCTTATCTCCCTTGGTGAAAATGAGCACGTCTCATACGTCAGACTTCTGGCATATAGTGTTCTCTAGCTAAACTTTTAAAAACTTTGTACTAAGCTATGGCATATGCAGGAGAAGGAACTGGCAACCCACTCCA